ACGGCTGCTCAGCTCGGGCTGACTCGAACCACTGTTGCTCAGAGCTCAAACTCTTGAGCGAGCTCTTAACCAACTGAGCCACTCAGCCGGCCCTCAGAGCTTGCACTCTTGAGCGAGCTCTTAACCAACTGAGCCACTCGGCCGGCCCTGGAGTCTGACTTTTTATGATGCAGGCCGTGGCCTATCGGTGGATCTGTGCAGTGGTTTGTAATAGCCACCCTTCACTGCACTGAGCTCACTCTGTACATTTCTCATTTCCTTAGAGGTCCAGTTCCTGCCGAACACTGGCAGATGCCCCAGAGTGACATAGCCCCACGTACACACCCGCAGCCACACTTAGCATGGCTTCACTCCACAGAACCTGTTCTGATCTGATGGGCAAAATAATTCTTACTGTCATTCATTTCTCTTCAGTTACTGGTGAGGCTGGATATCTATTTTTATTTTTTTACTATGTCTTTGGGAAATGTCTGTTCATTGCATGTCTCCTTCTTACCATAGAGTGTTTATCTTTTATTAAATTATTAAATTATAAGAGTGCATTAAACATAACACTGACCCTTAATAACACTCGCACTTGCTGCAAATCCAGCCACACTCTGCCAGGACCCCGTCCTCCTACCACATGGTGGTGGGTGGTGTTTCCAGCTCGCCAGTGTGCCCCTCCCACCTCCGCGCCTCCCTTCATGGGCACGTGGGGACAGGCCACCCTGGACCCCCTCACACTTCCTTGGCATGTTTTTCAACCTTTAAATCTGCTAACAACTCCACCCATTTTAGTGCCAGGAGTGAGGCCAGGCCCCGCCAAATACACTGCTTGGCCACAGGCCTGTCCCAATCCTACATTACTTTTCAGGAAACAGTAACATTTTATACATGGCATGACACATTTATATCATGGCAACTAAACTGATTCCAACTAAACTTACGCTTAAAAGCCTACCTTTGATCCATGCAAATACTGGGGTTGTGCGTTCGGCTGTTTATCTCTTTGAAATTCTTGAGAAAATGGTAACACTGTCCGAACAAACCTAAATAAGATTAAAACAAATTTAATGGTAGGTCTTTAAAATTCAGAACGTTCCCATCAATTAAATCTTCCTCCAAATGAACTGAAGTAATCATCTCATAGAAAAACTCAAGGAAATCAAGGACCAGAGTAGAATGGGGTATAAATACTCTGAAGTATGACAAATGTATCCTTGCTCCTGAACGGATTGAGAACAGTCTCCACACTCTGGGAGAGAGCTGGCCCATTGGGACCAAAACCCTTTCAAGCCTACGCCAGTCCTCTGACCAGTGGTCATGACCCAGCACTTGGGCTTTGCTGTGCCGCTGAACATAGCAGTGACGGCGGGGACCGGAAAGGAAAGGCAGGCACGGCCGTGACATGCACTACTCAGGTCACTGGTTATGAGCTAGGGAAGTCTGTGCTGTAACCGCACACATTTAGCCAGGAGGCCATGAGCTGCTGGGCGAGTGGAGGCCCTAAGACTGTGCTGCTGAGACGCCCTGGCTGCAGGAAGAGCCACACTCACCGGTTGGTGGAGCCGTTGTAGCAGTAGTTGGGCAGGAAGTCATAGTTGAGCTCCCAGAAGACGTGCAGCGTGATTCTCCCGTAGGGTGCCGACACATTGTGGTTGGCCTCCCGGAACATGGCGTCGAAGCTGTCTAGCGTCAGGTATCGGCTCAGCAGCCTGTGCGTCATGCGGTTGATTTCCAAGAGGCCATCCAGCTCCTAGGGACACAAGAACAGGGGTGTGAGGACAGAACTGGGTCACTGGGTCAACCACAGCCTCCATTCCTCACAGGTGCCCCCATTTCGGGGGTGGGGGCATGGCAGAACTGAGCAGAACACCCCGAGTGGGACCAGTGAGCGAGGCTAGAACGCACGCGGCAGGCGTCCAGGAAGCGGCAGGCGTCCGGGAGGTGGCAGGGCTTGCTTCTCACACAATTCTCCATGCCCTCTCTGCTGCTTATGAAATGCCCCTCCTCACCATGGTTGCCCCACAGGGCACAGACCACTTGGACATGTCACCCCTACCTAGCTGGTGCGCTGCATGCGTGATGCGTGTCCTTGAGTACTGGCCTGTCACCTGGAATTCCCCAAAGCATGGCTGTGCGGCAGAGCAGACACGCACACCCACAGGTGGCCTTCCAAGCTTTCACNGGGACCCCCCTCCCACATTGGAAACGGGTGCAGAACCTTCACAGTGTGAAGGAAGCACGTCCCAGAGGACCCACCAGGCTCTTGACGACCTTGAGCAGCTCCTCCATGACCACCGCGATGCCCTGGTAGCCCAGCAGCCGGCAGATGACCTGGAAGTGCGGGGGCCCCACGAAGTTCCGGAAGCTGCCGTAAATGCTAGAGTAGGCCAGGTTCAAGGCCTGGGGAGAGAAGACAGAGTGCTCAGTGAAACTTTGAGTTCTAGATCCCTGCACACACACACACAGCTGGAGAGTCACTGCACAGACACACTCGACACACAGCCCTCAGGTTGGGGGTCCACAGGCTCATCAGACCCCCCCTTACTGGTAGTTCCATCTTCAACTAGAAGACATGAAAAGCAAGCTTGCTAAAACAGGAAAATAAAAATGTTTTTGGTTTTTCAACATTTATGAAACTGCCCGTTCCACAGATGCTATATGGAGGTCCTGGAGTGAGAAATGAATACGTTTTAGCACCTCACTGCTACCACAGAGCGCCCCAGTGTCCTGGAGGGACACCCGCAGACAGACTGCGAGGGGGCAGGGGTAGCTGGGCTCAGCAGCCCCGCAGAGTGGGCAGGTGAGAAAGACAGTCAGATACTTAGCGGTTGGTTCTAGGTCTTAACACTGTACATGACATGAGTTGCCAGTCCTTCACCACGACCCCTCCATGTAGGTCCCCTGTATCCTCCCCATCCCTCTCTGTAACTGTCATAGAGATTTCCTCTGCATGCACCAAAAACACTCAGGAAGCAAAGACTCAACAGTGCCTCCAGAAAGCCTGCCTACAGCTCCTGGGAACTCAGCCCCTGGGATGGTGCCTGTGTCACCGACTGACATAGCTGTTTTCGATACCAGGCACACTTAACCATGCTCACAAGCTGGTCTAGGCTGTTTGCACAAATAGTGGTTTACGGTGAGCCCCTCTTTCCTTCTGGATTCTGTGGATCGGTAACCGTGGAAGGTCACATGAGGGAGCGTGCCCACATGCCCAGCCCCCGTGAAAGCCTTGGACCTGGCGTTTGCAGGGGCTCATCTGCGCGTCCTGTGAGCCCCACTTGGAAGGGACGGCTTTGGCAGCCTGTGCCCAGTCCCAGCAACACCTCCTGTGTCTTTTCCCTTAGGAGCCTGGTTTTGTAAGTCTTTTGCTATAATAAAGAACTGAATCTGTGAGTCCTCTGGAAAATTACCAAATGTGTGGGCGGTCCTAGGACCCACAAAACACAAAGTCTGAGTCTAAACCAATTATCAAATACATCCCTGACCAAGTTGGTGCCTGTCCATGCCCACCTCACGACCCCCATCAAGTTCAAAAGGACTGTATCTCCATCATCAGCTCAGACGTGTCCTCTTCCTCCCGTCCCATCCTTAAAGCACTTTAAATGCTGGGATTCTGGGTGAGGTTTTGCTTGATAAAAAGTTCTAATGCTTGAAAAGAAGACCATGAAAATCATTAGTGAAATCTAAAGACCTCATGTTACAAGTGAGAACATCCATCCCAAAGCCACCCTGAGTTCCTTAGGGCCTGTGGCTCAGTAACACCTGGTCCCCAGCAGTGTGTCACTACAAAGAACAATTGAATCCAATTCATCTAATCTTGCTTTGCCCCCAAACGGGCACCTGCTCTGCAGACGCCCGAGTGCCTGTGCCCCTGTGGACACACAAGGCATGAATGCAGCCCCCAGGCCCTCCAGGACTGTGGGCTCACAGCTTTGTCACATGGGAAGCAGAACCCCTGCTCTCTCCCTGCGATCCTGGAGGAAAACCCTGCAGAATAAAAATAAATCTCCTGAGCCTTTAATAGCCTGATGGACACACAACACATCTGGCCGCTGGATACATACAGCAGTGCTGGGGGGACCAGGAATCCATCCCTCCAAGGACCTCAGGCTGGTCTGACACCCCCATGGCCAGAGGCTGTGCAAACCTGGGACAAATCCCCAGCATCCCCCCAGCCCTCAAGAGCCAAACTTCTCTCCCCCATTGCGACCCTCTGACACACAGGGGCAGGAGGAAGTGGGGTGGGGACAGAAGAACCACTCTGTCTCTGGGTTCCTCCTTCCCACAGACTCCTCTCTCTGTCATGCTGTAATGAAAACTTATTTTGCAGTCATGCCTAAGAGAGGGATTAAAAATTTCAGAGCCAAGCCAAGTTCACAATCTTTTAGTTAACAAAAACCCAAGAAAGTTCTGTCTTACTCACCAAACTGTCTAGACCTATCTCCTTAAATTACATAAAACTTTAGTTCCAAGGGCGTCAAACACTACATTTTAATTTCAGAAAGCGGTCATCAGAGTACTTATTCTAACCCTTTTAAAAATTATGCACCTCACGCCCTTCCCGAGGAGCAGAGGAGGTGGGTCACAAACACCAGCCTGGACTGGACTTTGTGCCCATCTCCACGGTGCAAACGCTCCCAGCACAGCCAAGTTCAAGCTGCCATCTGTGGTGAGAGGAAGGTGGGCAACCAAAAGAGTAGACATGAAAGGTTCCTGCTCTATAGAATGGAGGGTTGGGCAGCGTGGGCGAGAGACTTCCTCTCAAGTTCTCAGATGCAGCTGTGGCCTTAGGACGGACCTTGGAGCAGGCCTGGGGGCCTCAACGCCCCAGTGGGATAGGCAAGCAGGCTGGTTTCTGTGTCACTCGACCAGCAGCTCAGAGCATGAGAACGGGCTTCTCTTGGGGTTGAGTGTGGGTGTCACCCAGTGTGGAAAAGAGGCAGTGTCTGCTAACAGCCTGAGCCTCATGTCCCACTGCAAGCAAGCATCACCTGTATGACCAGAGGGGCCTCCCAGCTGCAGCACCAAAGCAGGTGCCTTCACCTCCCACCTCCCTTTTCAGAGGCAGGTGAGCAATTGTTGGCCAAGTGGGAGGAAGGCCCGCACCCACCTTCTGCTGGGCTAAGAGCCCTAGTTCCCAGCAGAGGCCAGGCAGTGAGTCCCGAGACTGACTGCAACCTGGCATCAGTACAAGACACGTCAATTACTTCACATTAAACAGTGACACCCAGGCTCAGAAAGGGCAGATGGGACAATGCCGCCTTCTTCACTGCTGGTCGTCATCATGAATTTTAAAACAGCTGCCAACACCCTGACCCTAAATGCCAGGAGCAGCAGCCTGGCATCCTCTGTCCCCACAGCAAGGCCTGTGATACAGAGTGGACAGCCCCTGGGAAGGGCAGTGGACACGTCCCAGGGACACAGGCCTCAACCCTTTACCTTCCCCATTTCCACCTTCTCTTACTTCAAAACGTGGTTCCTCCATTCGCCGACTGCCAGAAACCTAAGATATACCGTCAGGTCTTCCCTTTCCCTCACCCTCCATGTCCAGGTCACCAGCAAGTCTGGTCAAGTCACCTCCAAAATACACCCTAAATCTATCTGCTTCTCTCCATCTCTGTCAGTGGCACTTGGCCCATCATCACATCCTGCTGCACAAGGGGAATGTGATTTTCTGCCCACTCTCTGACCCCCTCAGACCTCGGCCCCTCGCCGGGTGCCAAACACCACACGCTGCCTGCCGCTCCAAAGCCTCGAACTCCAGACCCCTCTGTAGGTCCTGCCAGAGTGAGGCCACCCCCAAAAGCCACCCAAGACTCTGTCACATGGTCCCTTTCACAGCATTACTAGGAGAATGGCTTCTCATAGGAACGCAGCCCCACACACCACACAGAGCACCCGCACCTCCCACGAGCAACAAATAGAAATAGAATCATTTTCAGCCTGAAATTGCATGGACACAGGCCACGTCTATATCTGCCCACGCTGGTTTCCCATCCGTCCCAAATACTTCCTCCACGTGGCACCCTGGCTTGTCCCAGCAACACAGCTGTCGGTTCTTTTAGGCCAGCGGTTCTCAACCTTTCACAGGGTTCGCCTAAGACCATCGGAAAACACGTATTTTCGATGGTCTTAGGAACCGAGACACCGCTCCTCTATCTGTCTCCAGGCCCACATGCAGATACGCCCACATACGAGTACCCGGCGACCCCTGTGAAAGGGTCGTTCGACCTCCAAAGGGGTCGCGACCCACAGGTTGAGAACCGCTGTTTTAGGCCAACAGGTTGAAAACCTTAAACGGCCATATTAGCTTATAAAGTGTTGTGACACTGTGACAGACAGAGTGAGTGCGTAAAGGGCACGGGTGCGAGACACACAATGATGACGTCACGAGCCTGGAGAGGCTGGAGGCTGGGCAGGGTACGCTGAGGACACGTCTCCTCACAGACTAGTCAGAAAGGGGACTGCGAGTCACAGCTGGGGGCCCAAAGTGGGGTCCTCTCATGTCATTATGTCAACATGCTCATTTCTGCACTTGTGACAAGAATGTCCTGCTCAGACCTCAGCCCCTAAGGTGCGAGGCCACAGGAGGCTGGCGGGCCCACAAGCTACACCCATGTCAAGGGAATAGCTAGAAAACCAGAGAGAGCAATGCAGACGCATCACAAACAGGATTCAGAAAAGGAAAACCTCTGTCAGACACGGCCCCCCCAGAGCCAGCCGCTGTCTAGCTTCCCGTGCTGTGTCTCT